TGAACAAGGCACAGTGGCACACACCTGTAATCCCAGCAGCTCGGGAAACAGACACAGGAGGATCATGAGTTCAAAGACAGCCTCAGCAAAAGTGAAGTGCTAAGCAACTCAGTGAGACCCTGTCTCTGAATAAAACACAAAATAGGACTGGGGATGGGGGGATGTGGCTCAGTGGTTGAGTGCCCCTGAGTTCAATCCCTGGTACCAAAAAATAAAAGTATATATATATATCCTGCTTCATTCAATTAAATGTTTTAGACAGAAAATATTAAAAAAGAGGAACACTAAGAAAAATTAATGGAGGAGAAAGAAAAGAGGAGTGAGAGGGAGGAAGAAGAAAAAAGAAGAGAAGGTTGAACATAATTCTTTCCAGGTCTTTCAAACTGAGTCATTTGGTTTCTTTCTAGCCAGAAAAAGGTTTTGTGTTTTTTCTTTCAAAATTTGGAAGTCAGTCTTACTATTTATGAAGACAAATTCACAGAACTTTAAAAAGTTAGTAAGACTTGTAAAAAAAAAAAAAGATGAAAATCAGGCTTTAATGTTTGACTGGACATGAGCAAAGGTAAGTGCTATTCTAAGGTTGGTCCTTTAGGTGAACTTTCTACTCTTAGTTTGCATCTTTGTTAATGCCTTTAGAGCTCTGAATCTTGTTTTCATTTGTCTCTGCCTCCTAAGTGGGATGTTTATACACCCAGCAAGCTTAGCACATGCAGATCATAAGAAGAGCCATACCTCAAATCCTTCGCTAATCTGTATTAGTCAAGCAAAGGAAAATCAACAGACTCCAGAGCCCAAGAGAAAAATGATCAGATGATAAAGGACCTGCAAATGGATGTCAGCTCTGATGATCAGAGAATGGGTGTGGGTCCGATTTCTAAATGTGTAAGAAAGAGTTGTGTATTGCATCACTTGGGAGGAAATCAATGCAATTATGCTCAATGAAGAAATATAATATTTATGTAGAAAATGATACAAAATGTGCAGTGGACACTGCAGGACAAAGTAAGTGTCTTGGCCCTATGTCTTTTCCTTTGTTCTTTTCGAGAGTAAGCAATGGCATAAAGATGAGGCAGGAGACATAAAAGTAAGATTAATTAAAAGGCGTGATGGGTAGAGGGAAGTAGGAAGGAAGGGATTATGATTTTTAAACTTATAGTCAAGAAAGATTCAAAGTTCTTACTAGATTGTAGGAGGCAAAAGTTTAACATGTTTAAATATCTTTTCTAAGAGATTATAGTGGGGAGAGGTATAAATGGAGAAATACTGGTCAATGGATATTAAGTTATAATTAGGGAAAATAAGTGCTAGTGTGCTATTGCACAGTAGGCTGACTACAGATGATAATGCACTGTATTTTTAAAAAGCTAGAAGAAAGGATTTGAAATGTTTTGTTACAAAGAAATGACAAGCATTTGAGGAGATAGATATGTTTGCCCTGATTTAAAATCACACATGTATACATGTATAAAAATACCACATGGTACCCCATAAATATGCACAAAATATGTATAAAATTTTAAAATTTAAAAAGATTCTATATGAATTGCTAGAATCAATGTAATGTTTTTCATTAATGAAAAGCTGTATAATAAGCCCCAAACTTATTATTTAAATATATACATACTTATGAAATATCTATGTTAAATTCACTGTCCAAAGAACATATTGTGAATCCTTGAATACATGCTTATTTATTTATTTATTTATTTATTTTGTAAATTGAAAATTATTCGCTTACTGGTTAAGTAATCTGTGCAGAGGAAATATTAAATAGAATAGCAGTCCCTGTGAATATTTTTAATCCCTTAATTTTAACATTTGGTAAAACTCTTTAATCAGAGTACAAGGGGAAAACTGTCTCTGGAAGTAGTATGTAGGTTGTAATTCTGGGATGTGATGACAATGCTTGAGCTCAGAATTGTTATAACCAAATATAAAGTTGTTATTTTTACTAAAATATTTTTTGCTTAAATTCACATTAGGACTGAATACAATTTATATGCCTAGAACATACTGCTCCACCAATAAACCTAAATCAAATTTTAATTAGATGTAAAACAAAATCACAGTTCATTCATTTAATGTTCATTGAGTGACTACAGTGTGCCAGGTACCCATATTCTGAGCCCTGGGAACACAGCAGAGGACCAGTCTTCATGGAACTCACATTCTATTGAGGGGAGGAAAACAATCAGCAGTCACTGTAATAAATGAGGAAATTATCTAGCATGCTGGAGGCAGGAAGTGCTGTGAAATAATAAGAAAGAGAGCAGAGTAACCAACATTGGAGGTTTTGGGAATGGGGAGGGAGATCATTCAATTTGCCATTTTGAATAGAGTGGTGAGAAGTAATCAAAATGTGAATGCATTTTACAGATCAAGCAAAACAGAATTTCCGAATAAATTAGATGTCTATCTTTTGAGGGAGGATGAGCCAAGGATGGCTCCAAGAATTTGAGATGAGCAAATAGATGGTATAGCCACCAACAGAGATGAATACTGCCCTCACACTGTTAAATTTTAACCCCATCCTTTCTTGAAATTCCCTCTTCCAGTAGTTCCTATGGCACCATGTTCTGAGTCTCCCACTTTTCTCTGCCTGCACCATCTTTTTCACCTACACCTCTCCTACCAGCTCTTACACATCTATATACCACCAAGGCTCTCTCTTCTGCTTCACTTTCTTGGCAGGAAAATCATATAAACTCACCTCCTTTCATCATCCTCCTACCATTGTCCCCAGGTACTTGTCTCAGATGTTGTCTCTGTAAAGCCTTCACTGACAAGGTCATCCCACATTGGTTTTCTATCTCACCCCCTGAAAATCTAATTCTAATTCAATAACTGTGCTACTTAAACTAATATACTGTCTTTCTCTGCCCTCTTTCTGAGCCCTTGGCAACAAAAATATAGAAATTATAACACATACCAAAATATTCAAAATGTTGTCAAGTTTGAAATAAGTGACAGAAGTCTTTATAAATGAAACAACTATCAAAGCCAGAATTCAGAACACACAAGCTAATATAGCAGCAGGTCAAAGGAACTTGGATATTGGTCCAAGGAAGTTAACCACCCACATAGGAGCAGAATAACCTTGAATTTGTGCAAAGCAGAAGGCTCCTATGTTAAGAGCCAGAAATCTGGAAAGGTTGCATCTGAGTGAAATGATATAGAAAATACTCATTAGTTTAGAGAATCTACAAGGGAAGCTTTTCTCTATCAGAACCAGGCAAAAAGGGTGAAAAATGTGCATCTCATCTATTTGGAGAAATGCAACCCCTAAGCCTGTGTTTACCTAAGTGTGAAGTGTGAATTTATACTATTAATGTTGCATGAAAATTTCAAGTTGAGAAAATATCATTTAAACTACTACAACTGAGAAAATTCACCAAGCCCCAAGAAATTACCACAAAGGAACATTTTCACAATTCAGGATAAAATTCTCACAAGACAAAAAAGAAAAAAAATATTGAGAACAAGCACAGAATTTTAAAATTGCATATCACATAAAGAGGTAAGCTAACAGTTAAAAGTCAGGAAATAAAACAATTAGAAGATTAATATTCCCAGGAATGTAAAATTTTAAAAATTGGAAAAGAACTATAACATAAACATTTTCTAAATGGACTAGAATCCCTGAAGGAAGAAGAGAGCACATCTTTTGAAAAAGAACCAATAATTATATATGTGCAAATTTAAAGAAGGTGGAATCCTACATCTGTCTTGGAGTCAAAGCTGTTTTACTTTTAGGCATAGATAATATTTAATATTAGTTTTTTAAATACTATGAGCTTATAAACTTTGGTGAATATCTATGGCTGATCATATAATTGCTTAATCTTTAATGTATTTATATTGTCATAGTTACAATTTTAAAATAGTATCTTATAGACTTATAAATATAAATGTTATTTAATATATATTAAAATATATTTTTTAATTTATAAATATTGCTTTTTTCATTACCATGTCATGATCTTGTAAGATTTTTTTTTCAACTCTAGAAACATAAATAGCTCCCAAAATACAGTAGTAAATTTCATGAAGTTTCACTGTCCAGGCTTTGAAAAATGCTGTTCTAGATAATACCAAGGTCAAACCAAAAGCCTTGAATAAAGATAGATTTAAGAGTAAAACATCTTTGATAATTATACTGAACTACAATTTCTAGCACATATTAGCCTATCCTGTAAGAAATACTTGCAATTTACTTACTGCATTAGAAGTTGGGAAGTGTGTTCCTAAGAATTGGCTAACCTTTCTTACCTTTTTTATGTTAATGTTTGGCAAATTAAGTTGCAATGCTGCAATTATGCAGTACTAGGAACTTGAATTTAGATGCTTGTGATAGTGAACAAATCAAAGAAATCATATTAGTGACACTTTCTATTAACTCAGTAATAATTGATCAATAAGTATATGATGTTGATAACTTTCCAAGACCAATTAAATTTGGTACAAAAGTAATAATATGGTAATTTATATCTTGAGATAAATATTATTTAGGTTTATTTCCTGACATTAAAAACAAATCCAATACAGGCCGTAGACTTTTGTCCTTCTTTGATCTTGAGATTCCCTATCTTTGACTCCTATTTAAAATACAAGAATGGCTTTATGAATGCCATACCCCAGGGGAACCAATCTCTTTCTAAGTGGAGTTCATCACTTTCATATCTGGGTTAGATCTACTTTAAGTTTTCCAGGACTACAGAATATATTGTATTATATAATAATCATGGCTACCCGTATTATATAATAACTGTGGCTTCTTGGAGGCTAGAGAACAGTTGTGTCCACAAACAAGGACGTCAAGACATTTAACAGATTACTATTCACAAAGATTTTAGTACTAAACAAAATAAAATACTTTTAATTCTTTTACCTCCTCATATATCATCTACTGTAATTGTTTTTGTCAGCTTTTTTCACTGCTGTGACTAATGAACCCAACAAACACAATTGTATGGGGAGGAAAAGTTTGTTTGGGGGCTCACAGTTTCAGAGGTCTCAGTCCATGGACAGCTGGCTCCATTCCTCTGGGCTCAGGGCGAGGCAGGACATCATGGCAGAAGAGTGTGGCAGAGGGAAGCAGCTAACGTGGTGATCAGGAAATAGAAAGAAAGACTCCACTAGTTAGATACAAAATAAATACCCCATAGGCAAGCCCCCAATGAACCACTTCCTCCAGCCACACCCCACCTGCCTCTAGTTACCCCTCAGTTAATCAGGGATTAATATACTGATTAGGTTAAGTCTATAACCTAATCATTTCTCTTTCAAACCTTTTTCATTGTCTCACATATGAGTTTTGGGGGACACCTCACATCTAAACCATAGAAGTAATCCTTAAATATGGGTGATAATAATCAGTCTATAAAAATGATCTTCATATCTTCTAATGGCATTAAATAAATCCAGGCTGTCAAAGTCCAGACATACCACCAGGAATTCATATGCACAGACTGCATGAGTCCCATAACCAGGAACATCCAGATATACCTACCAATTTAACAAAAAATAAAATGTGTATTACCTCTAAGCCTATGCATTCATTTTTATGTAAATTTACCAAGTTAATCTATAAATTGGTAAAATCCATTTTATTAATCAAATGTTCTATATTATAAAGAATATTATTAAATCTCACAAACTCTTTTGTATGTGTGTAACAAGTATGACTATAAATAATTTAATTTTGCTTTAATTTTATGCTTTGTTAAAGTAGGATAACTGATATTTTTTGATCTTTTTATATAGAAAATGCCTGAAAAATAGTTCTCAAATATGTATCCGGTATTAAAATAAGTGTTCTATAAAAAAAATCAACTGAATGAATATGGTTATTTAAAATATAATTTTACAGAGTGTTGGTGTCAATTTATCATTTAACCACAGTGAATTTGCCTAAGCAGAGCTCTAAAATGCATTTTCATCAGGTAGGGTTATGGAAATATGTCCTCATTTAATGGTTTATCAGTGGGGAAATTAAACCATATTGATTACAATGTGATTACATAGGCTACAGAACTATAAAGAAAAGCTACCAAATGAGTATCAGGCAGTGGGCGAAGGGGAAGTCTGTGGAAAGAAAGGGTATATGAGATGCAGCCATATCTTGCTTTTTAACCTGGATGGTAGTAAAATGAATATATGCTTTATATATTCTATGCATAGTAACTATGTTTTATACTATAACTTTAAAAAGGAGAATAGAATGACTTTTCTTACTGCATCTATGTCAGTTGCCTATGGCTGCTGTAACAAAGTACCATATCTTAGGTGGCTTGAAATAACATAAATTGATTCTTTTACAATCCTAGAGGCTACAAGTCTGAAATCAAGGTGTTGGCAGGGTAATACTGTCTCTGAAGTCTCTAGGGAAGAATCTATTCTATGCCTCTCTTTCTTAGTTTCTGGGGTTGTTCACAATCCTTGATGGTCCTCGGCTTGTAAAGAATCCCTCTAATCTGCCTTTGCTTCCACATGGCATTCTCCCTAAGTGTTTCTGTGTAAGTTTCTTTTCTTCTTCCTCCTCCTTCCCTCCCCCTCAGACACCCCCCCTTTTCTCCTTCTCCTCCCTCCTACTTTCCCAGAAATCGCAATTGAACCCACTAATGCTTAACCACTGAGGTTCATACTTCCCCAGCCCTTTAAATTCTTTATTTTGAGACAGGGTCTCACTAATTTGCCCGGGCTGGTTGAATTGGCCAATCCTCTTGCCTCAGGCTCCAATTGACTGGGATTACATGCATGCATCATCTTGCCAGGCTCCTTCCTCTTGTATAAGGACATCAGTCACATTGGATTAGGGCTCATCCTAATTCAGTAAGACCTCATTTTTACTTGAATATATCTTCAAAGACCTCTTTCCAAGTAAGATCACATTCATAAGTACTAGAAGTACTCAACATATCTCTTGGAGCAGGGAAACATTCAATCCCTAATAGCATCTGTCTCTGAAGCCCTGCTAATGATAATGGGAAAGTTAGAGCTATTTCCTTGTTATTTTAACTATATGCAGAATGTTTTCACATATTCATGTATTTATTCCAGTAACTTGGTCAATACTAATAGTGAAGCATATATAGTATAGACGGCCATATGTTTCGAAAGAATGAAGAGAAAGAGTAAAAGGTAAGCTATCCAAAATTAAATGCTATCTTGAATCAGGTCTGAACTTTTTTTGGCCGTTCCCATTTATCCTTTAGTTCAATGTGCAGCAAACAGATTCACATTATAAAACATACAATGAGGGTGATAGGTAGAAGATTGGCCTCACTTTTTTTAGGGTGCTCTTTTTTACTTCTCTAGATTTTTAAATTAATGTTTGTCTTGCTTTCTGTTGCTTTTGCAATCATTGGTTCTTAAACTTGCAATTAAAAGTTAAGTAAAAGTTTTTGTTTATTTTGCAGCAGTATTCTTAAATATTTATGAAGGATCTTAAGTCTGACTTGCTTTGAGGAAATATAGATGAATTAATAATTGATGTGGCTGCTTTGCAGAAAATTAAAGGTTGGAAGCACGTGTTAAAAAATTAAATCATCCATGGCTAAGACAGCAGATGTTATTTATTTAAAATCTTGCAAAAATGTACAATTAGGTTTTTTTCTTCAGTCCAAGTCAACTAAAACCTAATGATTCATCTCAACTTCTTAAATTCTGAAGCCTAAGGCAAGTCAAAGACTAAAATATAAGGAGGAGAAATTTCAATTTCTAATGCAAGAATTTTTAAGTGAACTGCTTATTAACACAGAAATGAAAATGAAAATAACTAGATTTTATAATAGTTTATATGTTCTGTACTATATGAGTCTACAGGCAGGACTCATTTATAGTTTTAGTATTATTTATATTGCTTACTAGCCATTTTGGCAAAAAAAAATCTTTAAAAAGTAATTTGTATCTCTTGCACATTGAAACTCATTTATAGATTTAAAATAAAATAAAATAAAGATGTAGAAAATCTTGAGTTAGAAATGCTTCTACCACTGAGCGCAAGTAATTCCCACGGGTAGTGGAGGTACAGTTCACACTTTTGTGCAAGATTTATAGAATTTATGATCTGGGCTGGAAGTGTTATTTAGAGGGTAACCTTCCTATAAAAGTTCAGCAGTTTCATTTCTGCCTAGAGAATGACAGTCTGTCTACCCGAATATACTCAGAGTATTCTAGAGATGGTAGAGTGGAAAGCATGACCTCTCCAAGTTCTTGCAAAAAACCTCACTTGCTTATCTTGAACTGGAAAGAAAAGAAAAGAAAAAAAATGCAGAGCAAGTTCAATAAGCAACACACTATGGCTACTCTAAGTAACTTCAAGTTACTGTTGAAAACTGTCTAGTCTTTTTGAAGGTATCATTTTTAAAGACATTTATACACCTAGCTAGATTTAGAGCTTCTTCTATTCCTTTTCAATAAAATACCTCATAACTTGATGGATCAAGTTTTATAATTCTGGTTTACCTATCTCTACTCCTGGAAGATCCCCATAAAACACTTGCCCTTTCTGAGAACAGTTGCTGTCATCAAATTGCAATAATCAGGGTAACACATTATCTATTAATTGAAAATATGAATCAGGAAAAGCGTTCCTGGGTTTCCTAAGAAGTGAAAATTTTAATTTTTCTCATATAAGCAGGTTTAAAGGTTGTGTGCTTCTCTAGTGTAACTAAGGTGATATGAAGTCTGAAATATTTTTTCTCCAATTTGCCAGAATCAATTATTTTCCTAAAGACTTAATTTAATCCAGTCATCTTTCTTGTTGATCTTATCAAATTCTTTACATTTTTCTGTTGTATGCTCTTATACTTCCTCTTGGTTTTATAAAAGGAAGGAGGAAAGGAAAATAAGAAGGAGGGAGGGTGGGAAGAAATCATGTCTCAATGGAAGTATTACTGGAAGTCCTCATTATGTGATTTCCCCATAATAATGGGGTTGGACAAACATTCTACGTTTGAAGTAGTGGTTCTTTAATAGTCTTAAGGGTAAAGGCTAAGGGGGACTGGGGATGGGGCTGGGGCTGGGGCTCAGCAGTAGCACACTTGCCTGGCATGTGTGAGGCATTGGGTTCAATTCTCAGTACCGTATATAAATAAATAAAATAAAAGGTCTATCAACAACTTAAAAAAAATGAAAAAAAGAATGAAGAATTTAAAAAAAGCAAAATCCACTCTTGCTTCATTTGGTTTCTGTTAAGTGTCATTTAGTCTCCTGAACTTAGACTCTGAACTTATTATATAGCCCCATAGAGAACTGGCATACCTGTACAACTCATTACTTCTTGTAGTAACAAAAACATTTTTTTCTTATTTAATTCAAGTAAAATAAATAAATTATTCTATTCTTCCTTAAATACTCTTAGAACCTATTTCTTCAAATAAAATATCCAGGTTGGGATCCTACTTTATGCTTCCAAAATATATTTACATAAACTTCTGTCAACCGTTCACTGTAAAGTGAAAAGGCCATGCTACTGGATAGCTGGCCTCTTCTGGGTAGTAAAAATTGTAACAGTGTCTTTCAAGCATTGCTATGTTGTTGTGTTCTCTTGGTATAATTTCTGCAACAATGCCATACAAAAATCAATACGTTTTGTTCTGGATTTAACCAACGCATTCAAAGAACCACAAGAGAAATGCTTTCAAAACTTAGAAAAGAGTGGAGTGGGATTGCTCATCTGGCTTTTCAGTTACATTAGTAAAATCATTCTGCATCATGATTGAAATACATAGTCTGCAATGAAAAGCAGCTGCTCAGTACTTCCAGAGAAAGTCACAATTTAAAATATAGATTTAATTTTCACAGGAGTAATTTAGGTTAGAATTAAAATAGCTTTTTCATTTTAATACTGAAATGTATGCTGTGAAAAGTCACCCATATACCCCATAAGAACCTTAAGACTTAATTCCGTAGCTGCTGAAAGAGCTGTTCATCTTCTGTCCATCATCCAGAATCTGCCCTTTGAAAAGAACCCTGGACAGAGGAGAATCGTGTTGCCCAACTGCAAGCCTCGCTTCCTGGGACAGCAGTTGTCAGTGATTGGTCTAATGTAGAGAGT